CCCTCCCTCCTCTTTTCAGCACTCCCCGCCCCAGGCTCTGGGCCCCTGTCTCCCGGCCCATCCCTCTCCTGCAGGCCCGGCCAGCGTCTGCACGCCTCTGCCTTCTCCGCGGTCTCCCTCAGCTCCCGCGTGTCCGTGGCCCTGTCTCCCTCAGCTCCCGCGTGTCTGCCTCCCTCTTCCCCCACTTCTTCCCACGGTCCCTGTGCTCACTACAATGCTCTGCTTTTAACCGCCCCGCCCCATCTCTGTCGTGCACGTTTCGCCCCCCGTACGGCTCAGAGGCTGCGGCTCTCTCCCAGGGTTTCTCAGCTTCTTGGGGGATCTTAGTTCCCCGACCAGGGATTGAACCTGCACCCTCGGCAGTCAATGCTTGGAAACCTGACCACGGGAGATTTCCATTAGTGACATTTTTGAATAAGTCTGGATGATTCTTTGGGGGTGGGTGTTGGGGGGGATTATACTGTCCAGTACACAGGGTGTGTTAGAACATCTCTGGCCTCTAACCCATGTGACGCCAATAGCGCACCCTTCCCCTGTCAGGAAAAGCAGAAATGTCTCCAAATAGTGCCGGACCCGGGGGTGGGGGGAGGCGCATAATCAGCCCTGATTGAGAATTCTGTCTCCATGTAGCTCTTTTTGTATGTGTCATTGTGCAAGCCCCTCTCCATATATAGACGGATCCCTCCTTGCCCCTCCATCCCGCCTGTGTCCCTTCTCTATAGCCTGCTCCCCTGGGACCTCACCTGTCACCAGCAGTTCCAGGGCATCACTGCGGTGGGACCAGACATCTGGCCCCCAGCCTCGCCTCCAGTAGCAGCATTGGTAACTGCCCCCCTGGGCTGGGGTCACCTCCTCCAGGAAGAACTCCGCCAGTTCCACAGCTACATCCCGGTGAATCACAGCAGTGAGCTCTGCAGACCTGAAGAGTGCAAACCTCCAGGCGGGCTGGGGTGCCTGGCACCTCAAGGTGACATTGACCCCGGGGATCACAACTGCAGCGGGCTGAGCGCCCAGCCATGGCCTGGGGCTGGAGGCTGGGGAGCCTGAGTAAACATGGCTGCCTGGGTGCTCGGACTTCCCGGGAGCCCAAGGAGACGTGCGCGCAGCTGGAGTAGGAGGAGAAGCTCCTTGAGAATCACTGCCCCTTTCTCAGCCTCAGATCCCTGTCCTAAAATGGGAGACACTGGACCCCAACCAAGGCTTTCAAAACTGGCTGTACGTCAGAGGAGCGAGGCATCGCCTCCTGTTTCAAATATTACTTCAAGGGATTGGATCCCAGAAACCTGCGAACTCAAATTGCCCTTCAGAATACTTGTAACATATTTGACATATTTCAACAGTTGCCCAAACTTGCCATCTATCTGGGGGGAAAAAATTGTTGGGTCCCTACCTCACACCATTCCCCCAAGCAAATTCTAGATTAATGTAAAGAATTACACTTTTTTTTTTTAAGCTATAAAAGTATCAGAAGAAAATATAGGAAAATGTATTTGTCTTTGGGGTTGAGAAGGCTGTCTCAAAATGTAAAATGAGAAGTTCAGAAAGGAAAAGGTTAATTAATTTGGCCATTTCAACCTTTTAAAGCTGTATTTGAGGAAAGACATGTTAATGAAGCTAGAAGACAAGTGACAGCACTGTCAGAAATGGCTTATTCACAAATCATATAGATTAAGAGTGTGGACGGACTTTCCTGGTGGACCAGTGGTTAAGACTTTGCCTTCCAACGCAGTGGGGTGGGGTGGGGTGGGTTCCATCACTGATGGGGGAGTTAAATCCCACATGGCTGTGGCCAAAAAAACCCAAACCATAAAACAGAAGCAATATTGTAACAAATTCAATAAAGACTTCCAAAACCTGGTCCACATTTTTTTTTTTTAAGTGTCAAAAGAAACCTTAGAGCCAATTCAACTGAAAGTCGGGCAAAACATGTGAACAGGCAATTCACAGAGGAAGAAGTCCAATTGACCAAGACACATCTGGGGGTTACAATGTGAAAGTCACTCCGCGGTAATACTACTTTTTTTAAAAATTAACACAATAGTAAGACATTTTTGCCTCTCAGTTTGTCAAAAATAGATAAATAAATAAAATAATGGTTAACATTGTGTTTGGGAGAATATGTAGTAAAACAGGTGCTTAGGTGCATTCAACCGCACCTTTTGAGACAGCAGTTTGTCAGTTTCTATCAAGATACACAAAGGATACGACCAGCCACTCAATAAGTCCACCCTAGACAAATGCACTTACATGAACATGAAAAGTTCACTGAAATGCACACTGCAGCGATGAACGTGAGGGTAAACACTGGAAGCAACCTAAATATACATCAGGAGAACCAACCAAACTAGAACCCATGCCCACAATGGCAAATGCTAGATAGCAATTTTCAAAAAGAGAGAGAAAAAAAGTAGAACCATCTGTAAGGACATGGAAATGTATCCGATAGCAATTACAGAGTGAAAAATGGAAGATGTAGAACACCATCTGAGTCAGGAAATACCAGTTTTGCTTTGGGAGGAAAAAAAAAGAAGAAGCACAAAAATACATGTGTGTGTTAGAATGCATGGACACTTTTTTATAAGGATTCAGAAATTATATCAGGAAGATGAGGAAAGGGACAAGAGCAGCTGCTATACATCCTTTAATAGTAATTAATGGGGGGTTTGGCCTCGCTGTGTGGCACGGGGAACCTTACCCCACCAAGGATCAAACCCATCCATGCTCCCTGCAGTGGAAGCATGGAGTCTCAACCACTGGAACACCAGGGAAGTCTGATGATAATTAATTTTTAAAACCATGAATATATGTTAGCTTTAGCATTTAAAACTTTAAAAATTGATAACTAAGGTATTAATGGTTTTCCAGGCGACTCTTATTTGGAGCATAGTTGGGGGGAAATTAAGAGGAAGACGAGATCTCCCTCATCAGAAACCCTGGAAAGAAACCCAGAGTCATCTCAGGGTGGAGAACCACACTTTCCAAATGGGGGAATAATAATGGGCTTTGCCGGAGACCCTATTTCCTGAGCCCCACACTTCGCCATGTGATTTTGTTAAATCCTCACAACAGCCCATTTTACAGAGAAAACTGAGCCTTAGCATGCAGTGGTTTGTTCAAAGTCATAAATGAATATGAGGGTGAAACCGGGGTTCCCGTTTAGGTCTCCTTCACGCCAATGTGCATGACCTTCCCTACTTCTCTGCACTGCTCACTAAAGTCAATACGGGACTTGCCTGGTGGCACAGTGAGTAAGAATCCCCCGGTGCAGGGGACACCGGTTCGACCCTTGGTTTGGAAGGACCCCGCATGCCACGGGGCAACCAAGCCCGTGTGCTGCAGCTAACTAAGCCCGCGCACTGAGAGCCTGTGCTCGGCAACAGGCGAAGCCACCGCAGGGAGACGCCTGTGGCCGCAGCTGGAGACAACACACGCGCAGCAACCACGATCCAGCGCGGCAAAAAGTAAATAAAGTGAGTGAGGAAGGGAGGAGGGAAAGAGAGAAGAGAGGAGAGGGAAGTAAGGAGATCTGGGGTGAGGGTGGGCACCAAAATAAAGGCTGAGTAGCTGGAAATGGGATGTCAGAAACACGTGGGAGAATGGGGGGTTACTCACCAGCTGGAGGGATGTCTGCGTGACACACCAGCCCTATAGAGGGTCGGGGGTGGGGGTGGGGGGCTTGGTCTTGTCAGAGCCTTCACCTGCTCCCAGCCCTACCTCACTGCGCGCCCAGGAATCCAAGTCCCTAGGCTCTCTTTCCTCCAAGAAATAGGAATCTTGCCCAAACTTCCTCCTCTCTCAGCAGCCGTAAACTCAGACTTCCAATGCCCACTTATCTCAGAGACCAAAAGCCTGGGCCGAGGCAATTCCCTGGCGGTCCAGTGGGTGCAGCTAGGCGCTCTCCATGCCAACGGCTCGGGTTCGATCCCGGGTTCGGGGAACTAAACTCCCACAAGCCATGCCACACAGCCAGAAAAACAAAACAAAGCCTAGACCCAAACCCCTCTTTCCTGTACACCCAAGAATTCAGGTGCTCGGACTCCCCCTTTTTCAGGAGACAATAATCTGAGCGCACAGTTCTCCTCTCTGGGGCATGGGGGTCTGGGCCCCCAGTTTCCCCCTTTCCCAGGGACCCAGGTGTCTCAGCTGCCATCTCTCTGTTACATCAAGATTTAGGACTGGACAGTCCAGGTTCCCAGGAATTCAGGGCCCTAGCCCTCTCTTGCTTCAAGATCTAGAGCATCCTGCTCCCCAGCTTCCTCCTCTCCCAGGAGCCCAGGAATCTGGGATCCCCCTGTCCTCTTACCTGAGGCCCCGTCCTGTCATTTTAACCTAGAATTCCCTCTGAACCCTCAGCTAGGGTCTCTTGATCACCCCGCACCTGCCCTCAGGGAGACCCCAGCCCAGCCAGGGACCCAGGGGGAAGGGGGTGGGTGTCTCACAGAGAGTCAGCAGCTGCAGGCTCAGCACCTCCGCCATAGTGGGCAGTTCTCGGTTGGAGCGGGAAGAGTAGCCGGGGCTCAGCCGTGCGGGTCACCTACCGGGAAGTGAGGCAACTTCAGAAAATCAGAGCCGTGCTCAGGGAAGGGAGGAGGAGCGAGGTGGGGGCCCCTGGGTGATTGTGTCATGGCCTTATGGTGCTTCGGGAAAAGTCAGGAGAGTGGGCGGTCATCACTGTCATTAGGCTTAAAAAAAAAAAAAAAGCCAGCGCCTATTATGTATCAGAACCTGTGCTGCACGGTTGGGGGGCGGAGGGTGGAGGGGGGCAGAGGAGAGTCAAACCCCATTATTGTGCTCCAGTAGTTCCCAGCCTGCTATCAGGAAAGCCACATCCCGACCAGGTTAGTTAAAAGGAAACGAAAAGATGCGCGCTAGAATGGGGGTCTTCCCAGGTGGCTCAGCGGCAAAGAATCTGCCTGCGATGCAGACCTGGGTTCCATCCTTGGGTAGGGAAGATTCCCCTGGAGAAGGGAATGGCAACCCGCTCCAGTAGTCTTGCCTGGAGAACTCCATGGACAGAGGAGCCTGGCGGGCTACAGTCCATGGGGTCGCAGAGAGTTGGACATGACTGAGCTACTAACACTTTCACTTCGTTTTCTCAGGATGGAGATCACACGGGGCACTGTGAGACCCACAGAAGGTCCCTAACCCTTCAGGAATGAGAGTTAGGGTTTGCAGGACGAACTGGTTTTGAGCTAAGACCTCAACTGATAGACTGATCATTTGTCCTCTCGCAGACTCCGTTTGCCCATCTGTAAAATGGGCTCTCAGAAGTAAACTATAAATGAGGACTGGTGCACTCCGCTTTAGCTGGGCTGCAGTAGGAGGACTGGAAGTTACTCCTCCGCAACGACGTTCTGAGAAAAGCGAACCGCGGCCGCTGTGCCGCGACAGGCTCGCGTTTAAATCCACAGCGCCGCCTTCTTTCCTACAGCCTTCAGCACCGACCGCTGTTCTGCAATACTACGCACGCGCCGACTCAGCCCGTGGAGGCTAGCGGGTCTGGACTACAACTCCCAGAGTAGTCCGCGCCGCCACCACCTCGGAGAGCCGTTCTGCGCCAGTACGCAAGCGCGGACTCAGACGGGCCGTGCTCAAAGACCACAACTCCCAGAGTGCTCCGCGCCCTCGCCGCCGCCGCGACCAAGATGGCTGAGAGTGAGTCCGGGTTCTGCCGGCGCGTGAAGCTGGTTCTAGGAACCCCGGGTGGTGCAGGAGTTAGGGCAACGCGGAGCCCCCGTGGAGCCAGTGGGGTCCGGGCCGGAGGGGGGTGCGGAGGTTACGAGGAGTCTCCTCCAGGGCGGTGTTGACGCAAGAGGGATAGAGGTCACCGGGGGCATCACCTGCGAGGCTGACCCTCCTCACCCCTCCTTGCAGGAGTCGCATCCTTCCTCAAGAATGTCTGGGCCAAGGAACCTGTGCTGGTGGCATCCTTCGCCATTGCGGGCCTCGGTGCGTGAGTGTCCCTGGTGCGGATGTGCATCACCCGCAACCGGCGTCCCAGCTTTACCTTCCATCCCGTATAGGTCCCTTCGCTCCCCGCCCATCATTCCATCCTGTGGCGCGACCCTCACCCTCAACATCCCGTGTCCCCCCATCATTCCAGCCTGTACCCCCAGCCCCGACCCTCACTCTCAACATTCCGTGTCCCCGCTAGTTATCCAACACCCCAACCCCTAATATTCTGACCCCTCCACCACCCCATCGCTCCTCACCCTATATGCACCCACCCAAGAGTTCTATAATCCCTTGAAAGAAGTTCTCAATCCTAGTTGTCCATTATAAATACTTAACCCCTTTAAAAAAAATAATGAAAAGTAATGTCATCTCCTCCCCGTTGCCCCTCACCGCCCCCCCACCAGATTCTGAATTGAGTTGGGCGAGGGGTGGTGGTGGGGGGGGGGAGGTGGAGCTCGGGAATCTGGTATCTCGTGAAAATTCTCCGGTGACTCTCACGTGCCTCCCTGATGAGAACCTCAGCCCTGGAACTGGACTGCTCAGACTTTCAGGGGTGGGAGTGGGGCTGTCCCTCTGATTCAGTAGGGCTGGGAGCGACCCGGGCTGCTGCGTTAAGTTCCCAGGCCTTGTCAATAGCGCTGGTGGGCACGCCCCACACTGGGTGAGGTTCCGGACCACAGTGGTCCGGCTCGGCAGCCACGGCCCACTTCCGCCCCAGAGCTCTTGAGAGGGGCTGATATGAACTGAGATGGGCGGTGTAAGGCTCATGTAAAGTATGTGGTGGATTTCAAAGACTAACTATAACAAAAAGTATATACCCATTTTTTTCCACCTTGATATATTGAAATAATATTTTGGATATACCTGGTTCATTTTTTTAATGTGTGCCTTTTAATTTTAATGTGGCTATTCAGTTCAGTCGCTCAGTCGTGTCGGACTCTTTGCGACCCCATGGACTGCAGCACACCAGGCCTCCCTGTCCATGTAAATTGCATTGCTGGTTGTTACCTTCCTGATAGTGCTGTGCACACTCCTTTATATGCCCTGCCCCACCTCCCCGTGACTCCCAGCTCCCACCCCAGAGGGACTGTGGTTTCCCAATGATTGTTATTTGAACCTCCCCCTCCCCCTGTTTGTAACAGTTCTGATGCCTCTGGAACATTTCCAAGACACCCCCTGACCCATACCCCCCAATATGCTCCAGGACGAAAATGTACTCCTTCCGTGACCACCCTTCTTCCCTCCCTTGCCCTCCAGGCCCCACGTGTCTGTGAGTACTTGGCTTTCGCCAACCTCTGAAAAGTGTCATAAACCCTTCTGATGTATGGGGTGCCCAGGGTGCCAGGGGGCGTCCTGGAGGTGCTGAATGCCCTCCCTCCCCTCCACGCACTGACCCCCGTTTGGCCAAAGCTCAGCTTCTGTCTGCAGGGGTCTCCTCCTTCCCCTGGGCCTCACGCCTGTTATCTCTCCACAGCTGTAATCGTGCCCACACTCAGCCCCTACACCAAGTACTCGCTCATGATCAACCGGGCCACACCGTACAACTACCCGGGTGAGTGAGGCCTCCCTGTACTGGGGGAGGGAACCGTTGGCAGGCGCTTCGTCCGCAGGGATCCAAGATTCTGCAGTGCAGTCTGGACTCTGTCCTCTCATCCTTCAGTAGACAGACTGCACATGCCAAGTTCACTTCTTTTAAATTTATTTGGCTGCTGCGGGTCTTAGCTGCAGTACTCGAGGTCGTCATCTTCACTGCAGCACGTGGGATCTTTATTTGTGGCACATGGGAGCCAGCTCCCTGACCAGGGGTTGCACCCAGACCCCCTGTCTTGGGAGCACCAAGTCTTAGCCACTGGGCCACCGGGGAGGCCCCTCCTGTCTTTCTTTGCACTTTGTGAGTTTCTGTGGTAGTTTCAGATTTATGTCCTTGTCTGGGTTCCCAGCCTCTGTTGCTTTCCCGACTGTTGACTTTTTGGGTCTCCGCCTCTCCAGGCCTGTCCTGCTTCCCCATCTCTGTTGGGTCTTTCCCTGGGGCTCCTTTCTGTGTCCATCATTCTGGGTTTTCATGTCTCTGGGTCTCTATCTCCCTGCTTCCCTACATCTCTGACTCTCTGACCCTTGGTGGTGGTGGTGCTTGAGTCGCTAAGTCTTGTCCGACTCTCGTGACTCCACAGACCATAGCCCGCCAGGCCCCTCTGTCCATGGGATTTCCCAGGCAAGGATCCTGGAGTGGGCTGCCATTTCCTCCTCCAGGGCATCTCCCCAACCCAGGGATCAAACCCTGTCTCCTGCATTACAGACAGATTCTCTGTCCCTGAGCCAGCAGGGAAGTCTTCTCTGACCCTTACTTTCTCATCTCTCCCCTGGGGTCCTGTTTCTGTCTGAATGTAAGCTGACAGGCCAGCCCTTCTCTGGGGCCCTGGTGATCTGCTGGTCTCAGCGGCCCCCTCCTGTCCACAGTGCCCCTCCGAGACGACGGGACCATGCCTGATGTGCCCAGCCACCCCCAGGACCCCCAGGGCCCGAGCCTGGAGTGGCTGAAGAGACTGTGAGCGCCTCCGTTGACAGGGAGCGGCCCCCGCCCCGATGGCCCCAATAAATACGTGAAAACCACCCCGAGCCTGAGTGTGTGGGCAGCGGTGGGCACAGTGGCCAAGGCGAGAGTGGGGGCTGGTTTATTGGGGGGAGTCAGTCAAAGGGGGGGCTGGCTAGGGTGGGGTAGGGCAGCAGCTTGTCTGGCCCCCGAGAAACCCAGCTTGAGTCGAGGGCCTCGTCCGCTTCAAAGCCGAAGTCTTCCTCGACCTTGATCTGGGGGAGACAGAGAGGGGCGTGAGGCGGCCCTGGCCCAACGGCCCCACCGGAGATCCCCAGAGCTGCCGCCCCCACCTGCCAGTTCTCCCTCCTCAGCTGCCCGCCAGGGTATCTTCCCTTCTCCCCAGAACCTCCTCCAGGTCTTCTCCACCCTGCCTGGCATTTTCTAGCTCTTTCTCCTTCCCAGGCCAGCCTCACCCCTCTCCCCCGCTTTGCAAGGCCCTCTCTCCCTGGCCTCTCCCCACTCCCCTGTTCCCCTGCGCCCCTATCCTCTCCCCTCCCCTCCCCTGCGCCCCCCTCCTCTCCCCTCCCCTGCGCCCTCTCCCACCCCGCCCACCCCCCTCACCGGGGCCAGTTCCGGGCTCAGCGCAGCCCCCGCTCGCCGGCCGTCACGGGCTGCGCGCCGCCTCTTCCTCCCGCTGGGTCCCTCACCCGGGGCCGGGCTGCCTGGCTCCGGGGGCGCGGGTGTCCTCCTAGGTGGGGACAGCGCCTCTTTGTCTGGAGGCTCGTTCTCGGCATTGCCGGGGGTGGGGGCATCTGCGCCCTGGCTGCCCTCGTCCTGGCAGATGGGAGGGGGGCAGGTGAAGGCTGTGTCCTGGGCTCCGGGCCCCCGCCCGCGACCCCAGCTCACCTCCAGCACGATGGTGAACTGGCTGGAGCGGTAGTCATCGCCGTAGGAGTCCAGCACTCTCATGAGGAACCTGCAGAGAAGC